GTGACTGCCTCATCACGGCCTGTAAGTATCACCCTCCAGGTCTTAAAGGCGTATGTCTCAAATGCTGGCTGTATCCCTGAACACACAGAAATCTACCTAGCTCTTCTACCAAGCTCTGGGATTAAAGGTGTGCGGCACCACCGCCGCCACACTCTTGCTATGGCTCTAATAGCTCTGACCGTGGGCAATTTTATTAACATACAATTAAAATCACATTTCAGTACAAATAAAATACCACCATATGCCCGCGAACTTCCGAGGGTGCTAAATAAACCTCTTTCTTTATAAGGAGTCCGTCTTGGGTATTTCATTACAGCAATTACATCTGAGGAGTGCACATGGGGAAAGAAATAAGTATATAAAAAGATTATTTTTAGGGTTTCTGGGGAAAAAAGCGATTTCTTTCTTTCTTCCTTTCTTTTTTTTTTTTTTTTGGTTTTTTGAGACAGGGTTTCTCTGTGTAGCTTTGGTGCCTGTCCTGGAACTCACTCTGTAGACCAGGCTGGCCTCGAACTCACAGAGATCCGCCTGCCTCTGCCTCCCGAGTGCTGGGATTAAAGGCGTGCGCCACCACCGCCCAATAAAGCAATTTCTTGAAAGGTATCAGGAGCAGTAAAATGCCATCCCATCTCCTACACACCAAGCTCTCTTCATGGGTCAGATGCATACGGCTCCACACACCAAAAGACCCCTCGCTTGCTTCAATGCTTCCCTATCACCTTCCCAAAGTAACTTTTACACAAGGAAATGTGTGTCTTCATTCCTCCCAATCATGGAGTCAACCCTGCCTACACGGGCTCTATTTATGGTCCCTGATGGAGAGAATTAATGCTCAGAACAGGAGCAGGTGCTTTTAGCACATGCTGCTACCATTCCAGGTTTTAGGGAGAAAACACTGACCTAAACATCTGTGTCTTAATGCTTTTTAACAATGTGCCACACTTCCGCCTACTGCCCACCCAGCAGCTGACTTTCGTGTGTCCGGCTATAAATGGGACATGAGCCACAGGTTTACATCCTGGGCTGTGCACACAGACGGCGTCCCTCTGAGATCACACACAAATCCCAGAAGTCAGTGAGAGCCCCTGGCATCCCCAGTCTTGGTCTCTCAAATCAAATCAGAATTTGAGTCAGAGTGGTTCATAAAGATCACAAATCTTACTGAGATCTGGCCCCTTAGGATTATCCTGGTCTGTAAGTGATGAGGAGACAGGTCCGTTTTAGAAGGTTTTCAACCGTAAAGGCCCAAGTCAAGGAGCAAATCCGACCTCTGGTTGACATTTCCCAGGGGCTCAGCAAGTTCTGGGAGTGTGCCGGGTTCATCTTCTCAGACATCCATGCTCTACTGCGTTATTCAGAGGGATGGAAAGACGTCAGATAGCTGACACTCAGGCCGACTGCCCTGGAGCAAACTTCCTTTTCTCCTTGGCTTGCTTTACAGAAATGCACGCCTTCGGCCCTTCCACGTCCATCCCAGCCTGACTGCTTGCTTCCGGCAGCTTCCGCTGGTGGAAACATTAGCAGCATGCACACACGCCTGCCTCCCTGGGGCAGACGGCATCACAGTCCAGCTCTGGAAAGCTTGCGCCTGTCTGTAGTGGTCCTCAAATGTCAGCTTGCATCTGGATCATCTGGCGGGCTTGCTGGACCACAGACGACGAGAGCTGAGGAAGTGTCTTAGTAAAGTGTTTGCTACACAAACTCGAGGACCCGAGGTCAATCCCCAGCGTCCATGTAAAAAGTCAGGTGCGGAGACACACACCTGTAACATCAGAACTGGGGAGGGAGAGACAGGAGGATCCCTAGGGTTTGCTGGCTACCGAGTCTAGCAGAATTGATGAGCTTCCGGTTTGGGGGGAGACCCTGTCTCAAAAAATAAGGTAGTGATTAAGAAAGACACCCGATATCAACTTCTGGCTTCCTCACATATGTGCACTCGTTCACACGCACATGAACATGTGCATGCATGCACACACACACACACACACACACACACACACACACACACACACACACACCAGATTACAGGGCCCCACCATAGTTTCTGATTCAGTAGACATTAGGTCGGCCCCCTGTCTTAGTTAGGATTACTATTGCTGTGATGAAACACCATGACCAAAAGCTAGTTGGGGAGGAAAGGGTTTATTTGGCTTACACTTCCACATCCTAGTCCATCACTGAAGGAAGTCAGGACAGGAACTCAGGAGACAGGAGCTGATGCAGAGGCCATGGAGGGGTGCTGCTCACTGGCTTGCTCCTCATGGCTTGCTCAGCCTGCTTTCTTATAGAACCCAGGACCACCAGTCCAGGGGTGGTCCCGCCATCCATGGGCTGGACCCTCCCCCATCAGTCACTAGTTAAGAAAATGCCCTGCAGGCTGGCTCTACAGCCCAATGTTATGGAGACATTTTCTCAGTTTCAGATGATTCTAGCCTGTGTCAAGTTGACATACAATTCACCAGCACACCCCCAAAATGTGTTTTTTTGTCTCCTGAGTTCTCAGTGCTACCACTGATGAGCTAGGTTGCCATCATATGAGACTCCCGATCTAGGGGCCGTGAAGGCTGAAAGCACCTCTGGCCTCCACGCCATGTTCCCAACAAGCCCTAATTCTTTTTGGCTTCTGACCACACTCTCTCATTTTCCTCAATCCTCAACTCCTCTGTTGACTTCCAAGTCTACACTCCACCTGAAACATTCTCACTGAAGTTAAAAGTGACGTGCTCGGGGCTGGTGTGAGGAAGTTCAGATAGAATTCCAGTCATGATGCCCTGATTTGCTGGCTACAAGGATGAGCATGCGTTCCTATAGTGATCATCACAGCACCCCAGTTCTTGGATCACAGACATTAACTCAGGTACCAAAACCTACATCAAACCAATCAATCCTTTGCTAGAATTTCATATGCCGTTTCATCATGTCTGAGGATGAAAGCGCTATGTATAAGGACCCATGCCATTGTGTTATGGTCAAAAGACACAGATGAAGCCAGGCATGGTGGCCACATCTTTAATCCCAGGACTAGGGAGGCTGAACCAGGTAGATTTCTATGAGTTCAGGGCCAGCCTGATCTACGCAGTGAGTTTCAAGCCAGCCCAGGCTACATAGTGAGACCCTGTCACCCACCCACCCCCCAAAAAAGAATAACAAGCCCCATCCTTGAGACGCTACAAGAAACAGGACGTCTTACTTTGGGTCTCCTTTTCCAAAGTGGTTGCTGTCTCTAGAGTGCCTGGCAGGAAGGACCATGTGGAACCATGGCAGAGAGTGAGTGGGTTTGTGGCCCTTAACATTCATTTTGAAGGACCGTCATGACAAAGCGTCACAGACCAAATGGCCAAAGCAACAGCAGTTTGCTTTGTCATGGTCTCGGACGAAGGCTGGAAGCCTGAGGTCAGGTTCCCAGCAAAGACGATTATGCCTGAGACTTCTCTTCGGCTTGCAGATAGGCATCTTTTCCTGTGACCTCATTTCCCGTTCTGATTAAGACACCAGTCAGATTGCATGGGGGAACCCCCCCAATGACTTCATTTACTCTAACCACCCTTCTAAAGATATAAAAATCTTCAAATACAGGGGTGGGGGCTCAGAATTCTCCCTACAACAGTCATTGGTGGAGTTAACTTGTGAAGAGTCAGTGTACTCCCACTGGAAGAATCCCCCTCACTTCCTGCTCTGGGGAACACAGAGCCGGATGATTCTGAAGTCGTACGTAGTGGGTTGAGTTGCCCCTCAGAAGCTAGGTCCATGTTCTAGTCCCCGGAACCTGCCAATGTGACCTACCTTGGAAGAAGAATCTTGGCAGGCGTCGTTAATTAAGTGAAGGGTTCTCTCAAGATGAGAGTGTGCTGGCTTAGGGTGGGTCCCTAAGTCCAAAGACAGTGTCAAGAGAAAGGGAAGGGGCGGGGAGTCAGAGAGGGGAAAAGTCACGCAGAGGAGACCGCGAAGACGGAAGTGGAAGGATACACGCAAGTGAGGCAGAAAGCGGGACCCCCGTGGAAGGGCAGACATAGGATTCTCATGCCCTTAAACCATGAAGCCTGTGCCCACCACACGTTTCTGTCCTCCTTGTCAGCCATGAACGGAATATGTTTGCCGCTGGTCCTTTATCTTATGGCAGGAGATTCAAGATAGTGCCAGGAGGTCTCCAAGGACGACCTGGGTGCGGATCTGTGTCTTGCACAGGAAAGTCCCCTCAGACCATGAGGAAACATCATCATGAGTAACAAACCCTCAGACCACTCCAGAAACCTGACGACTTTTCTCTCCCTCTGCAGACACCTTAAATCTCCCACAATCAGTGTGGCCCCTTTTCCTCAACCGCAATTTCCTTTCAAATATCAAGTTGTCTGAGAGTTCATATTTTAGTCTTAGTTTTTATCTCTGTGATCCCCAGGAGAAAGTCCCCCAAGTCCTGGATCACACAAATCTTCCAGCAGCCACCAGAAGCTCTGAGACAGAGGCGGGGAACTGATTGTCCCTCGGAACCTGAGAAAGGATCCCATCTTGCTGGCACCTTCTAGGTTCTTGCTCTTTAGAACTGTGAGAAAGCAAGTTTCTAAGTTACCCAGTGTGTGGTGATTGCTTATGACAGACAAAGAAAGCTAATGCTTCCAGTTTCCTCTGTGAAGGGATGAGGGCTACCTGAGAATTACAGAAAGTGGGGTACTTCAAAGCTATCTCTGAACAGGTCGTGGTGATATAATAGGGGTCAAGTCCTCTTCTATTGGTTTCTGGAACCCTACTCCTCACACGGGGTCGCCTTGCCCAGGCTTAATACATGGGGAGGGGCTTACTGCAACTTGATATGCCATGTTTTGTTGATATCCATGCGAGACCTGCCTTTTCCTGGATGGAGATGGAAGGGGGGGGGGAGGATTGGGGAGTGAGAAGGGGAGAAGCGGGGGAGAGAAACGGGGAGGGAAGGATGGGGGAAAGGCCACAGATGGGATGTAAAGTAAATAGATGAGTAAAAGAAAAAAGGGCTCAAGTCACCAGACTATCTAGGATGGAGATAGTTGCTATTTGAGCAGACAGCCCACAATGTGTCCACAAAGTAGAACTGTCTTTTACATTTCCCAGGTTGTCAGACCCTTGAAGCCATCCTCTTTCCCACAGATAGAGGATGGGATTTCATTGAGCAATAAATTAAGAATATTCTTCTAGTTTCCCAGAAGCGCCGCTTTCCAAGAAAGCTGAGACTTGACCTGCACCATCATATCCGGTAACGAACACTGATAGCAGATTTCTTTGCCAGCTTTTGTGATCCCGGCGTCATCACGGGACCTCCATTACATCACAGCCACCCGAAGAGCTTCTTTCTGCCATGTCTTGAAGATAGAAAAGGGAAGGAAAACAAAGTGAAGAAAGAGGAAATTGTGCATTCCGCTGATAACAGAGGAGAAGCAGGTCCACACAGCAAATTCCCAACACTTGGCTTTATGCTCTTGGCATCTTTAATCTGCTCAAGTCCCTAATCAGAAAGATTCCTTAACTTCAGAAGAGTAAGGACTATATGCCAGAGCCTCTCAGGGGGTCTCCAGACTGGACTTAGGGCAGAGGGGCAGAGGGGCAAAGGTGTGTGGTGTGTGTGTGTGTGTGTGTGTGTGTGTGTGTGTGTGTATGTGTGTGTGTGTGTGTGTGTGTGTGTAGAGAGAGAGAGAGAGAGAGAGAGAGAGAGAGAGAGAGAGAGAGAGCAGATAACCAATTAACATTTCAACTCAATGAATAATGAATTTTCCAGCTACATCAAACCAATAGGATATATATCTGTAAAGTCACCTCCTTATAAATTGGTCACCTCAGTTATTTGTGAGGGAAAGCTGACCAGTGAATAAAGTGTTGCTTTAATACCTTTCTGAGGCCGGGCGGTGGTTGCACACACCTTTAATCCCACTAGTTACCTTTCTAATGCTGTGAAAAAACACTATAACTAAAATGACTTATAAAAAAGAGTTTAATTCAGATTGCAGATCCAGGTTAGCGTCCATATTGGTTTAGAGAAGGCAGAGGGGCCGCTGAGACCTCACATCTGAGGTAACTAATACAGACAGTAATTCTATTCTTTGGTTTCATTTTCTTTTATTTTTATTTATGTGCATTGGTGTTTTGCCTGCATGTATGACAGGTCCCCTAGAACTGGAGTCACAGACAGCTGTGAGCTGCTGTGTGGGTGCTGGGAATTGAACCCAGGTCCTTTGGAAGAGCAGTCATTTCTTTCTTTTCTCTTTCTTTCTTTCTTTCTTTCTTTCTTTCTTTCTTTCTTTCTTTCTTTCTTTCTTTCTTTTTTAAGATTTATTTATTATGTGTACAGTGTTCTGTCTGCATGTATGCCTGCACACCAGAAGAGGGCACCAGGGCTCATTATAGATAGTTGTGAGCCACCATGTGGTTGCTGGGAATTGCTATCCCAGCTATCTCTGAGCTATCTCTCCAGCCCTTTTTTAAAAAGCCATTTCTAATGTATACCATCGGTTTTGACTCTCTCTTCAAGGATTGCATGCCCCTGAATAAAGCCTAGACAAACATCCTTCTATTCCTTTTTATAAGCGGTTGCTGAATTTTAAAAAATAACCCCATTTTCTGAGTCAAAGTAATTGAGGAGTGATGAAAATGAACATTGATTTCTTTCACATCATAGTCCTTCCTAAAGAAGAAAGAACACCTGCATGTCCATTCACTTTTTATAAAGTTAGGCTGGGACATGAACTGTCTATGAGAAAAAGAGTTATGTGCAAGTGTGTACTATTAGATTAATCGTCTTTTAAATTTCTTATTTTATTTTATGTGCATGGGTATTTCGCTGGCTTCTCTGTGTGTGTCTGGTGCCCACTGAGGCCAGACGAGAGCTCTGGATCCCCTGGGACTAGATGGTTGTGAGCCACCACGTGGGTTTGGGGAATCTAACCCAGGTCCTCTGGAAATACAGTCAGTGCTCTTAACAATCGAGCCATCTCTCCAGTCCCTAGATCAACCATCTTCATTACGGCATGCACATGGAGTTTTGAGGGAAGAGCAGAGCTGAAATACCCCTGAACAGCCTTGCTTATTAAAACAAAGCCCTGAGTGCCCCACTCTGGCCATTCAAATGGGGCAATACCTCATAGTGGTGCTTTTCATTACACTGTTCCCCCCCACACACATTTTTTTTCTTTGTATGTGTTCATATGTGTGCAGAAGTGCATGGTGTCAGGGCTGGAGAGATGGCTCAGAGGTTAAGAGCCCTGGCTGCTCTTCCAAAGGTCCTGTGTTCAGTTCCCAGCAACCCCATGGTGGCTCACAACCATCTATAGTGTGCTCTGGTGCCCTCTTCTGGCCTGCAGGCAGACATGCAGGCAGAACATTGTATATATAATAAAGAATTTTTTTCAAAAAGTGCGTGGTGTCTGCACTTTGCGGGGAGGTGGGAGTGAAGGCCAGAAGTCATCTGGTGCCCTCTCCACCCCGCTCTCTTTCTCAGTCTGCCTTATTCCTTTGAAACAGGGTATCTTACCTGGAGCTATGGTGGCAGCCAGCAAGTCCCAGCAATCCCCTCCTGCTCTGCTCCCTACCACACCGGAGTCACAGACACCTGCAAAGCCACTCCCAGCTTTTTATGTGGGTGGTGGGGTTTGAACTCAGCTCCTCATGCCTGCACAGCAAGTGCGCTTACCCACCAGCCCCTGTTGCATAGCATTTCATCTTCTGACTTCACTTCTTTTTTTTTTTTTTTCCTCAAACAATTCTCAGAAAAAAAAAAATCCACTTTCCAAGAAACCCAGTGTTATCAGGGCTGAAAGGGAACAAACCGCTCGTTGGCCTGGTTCAGGGTGGAGGATTTGCTGAGTGCGTCAGATCGCTTGGATGGCGTGTTCGGGTCGGAAGCCAGTTCAGCATGTGTTTTCTTTATTCTTTACACAATGATCCTGATTCAGATGAGATTGGCTTTTTTTCTTCCCACGAAGCTAAGTAAAATCGATTGTTTGGTCTTTTTTTTTCCCCCAGACAGGGTCTCTCTGTGTAGTTTTGGTGCCTGTCCTGGATCTCACTCTGTAG